GCCTCCCTCCGCCGTGGGCGTCCCTCCCGCCACCGCGACGACCTGTTCCTCCTCCTCTTCGCCGACTGCAGTCGCCACGGCCTGGCCGCTGCTTACCTCCCCTCCCGCGCCTGCTGGCTTCCCCTCCCCCTCCCCCCTTTGCTTAACCACATCCACGCCTCCGACGGCTGCCTCGTCGTCGCCGCCACCGGGAAGAACTCTGGCGAAGATGTCGTCTGCGTTCTATTTTCCCGTACCGTAATCCCGATCCTTCCCCGGATGCCCCATTCCTACATCCTCGCTCTGATTGCCGACGAGGCCTCATCCGATTTCAGGATCGTGGCCGTCGGCAGCCAGAAGCCCGTTGGGAACGCCCTTAATGCCGTCTACGTTTCCTCCCAGGTTTACGATTCCCGTTCTGGCCGATGGCAGCCCAAGGGGCAGCTGCCGGGGCACTACGCCATGCTCGGTAACGCGGTTTTCCTGGATGGCTTGTTGTTCGTGCTCGGCCGCCTCCTGTGTTTTGCTTGCATTTGTTGGTATTTGAGGGGAGGCTGTTCTGTTGGTCTGGCAGCCATTTAGCCCGTAGTGGGCTTGGACCGTCCACAGCCCACATCCCTTCTTAACCTAATTTTAATTAATATTAGGGAGATATGATGACTGTATTTTGGAGGTAAAAAAAGGTATAAATAGGACAGCAATATGAGAGAAAAAACAATCACGGGATTCCAAAGAAAAGGAGAAAAACAAGGCAGAAAAGGAAGAGAAAGAAAGGGAAGAAGAGTAAAGAAGATAAGGACAACGCAAAGAGGTCGTTCTTAATCATCTAGTAGTGTTTTATCTCAGGTTAGATCAAATCTACAGTAGACTCTTGCTGTGATTACTTGGGGAGGTTTTAGATATCGTGGACAGTGACGTGATCCTTGTATCCCAATTGTTCTCTTGTGATTGTTGCTAGGGTTTAGGGCAAGAGATTAGTGTTTAGGGCAAGAGATTGAGATTTGTATATTCATTATTCTCATAGAGGATTATCTCTAGTTTGCCCCATGATTTTTACCCTTCACATTGAAGAGGTTTTCTACGTATATCTTGGTATTCTATTTGATTGTGGTTCCATTTAATTTCGCTACGTATTATGGTCTTCTAGTATTTGTTCATATACAAAGGTTATTCCTGTTTATATCCCCATCAACTGGTATCAAAGTAAAGGGTTTTGATGATTTAATTTTTTGTATTTGAACATGGATGCAAGTAATGTTTCTCGCATGATTAGTTTAAATGGAAACAATTGGATGATATGGAAACCAAGAATGGAAGATCTCTTGTATTGTAAAGATTTGTATGGACCTTTGCAAAGGGATAGTGTAAAACCCATAACTATGACAGATGATGAGTGGAAGAGGTTAGATCAAAAAATAATTAGATTTATTCGATAGTGGCTTGATGATAGTATCTTTCACCATGTTTCTACTGAAATTTCTGTATATTCTCTTTGAAAAAAATTGGAAAGTCTCTATGAAAGAAAAACAACTGGTAACAAAGCTTTTTTGATCAGAAAACTTATGAATCTAAAATATAGAGAAGGTGCTTCTATTGTTGAACATTTGAATAAAATGCAAAGTATTACTAACCGGTTATCCTCTATGAAAATGTCTCTTGATGATGAATTGCAGGCATTATTACTTCTCAGTTAATTACCAGAAAGTTGGGAGACACTGATAGTTTCCCTCAGTAATTCTGTGCCAGATGGTGTTGTCACTATGAGTCAAGTAACAAGCAGTTTGTTGAATGAGAAGTTGAGAAGAAAGAGTTTGGCAACATCTCAGAATGATTCACAGACACTTATCTCAGAGAACAGAAGAAGGTCAAAGTCTAGAAGCAGTTCACGCATGGGTAGAAGCAAATCAAGATCAAGAAAAGATATTGTTTGCTATAACTGTGGTGAGAAAGGATATTACAAGAACCAATGTAAGCAACCTAAGAAGAACAAGAAAAAGAGAAAAGAAGTGGAGTCTACAGAGTCAGATAATACTACAACTACAATGCAGGGTGGTGATTATTTGATTTTGTCTCCTTCTAATGATATTTTTTCTTGTGTGTATCAGGATCTTGAGTGGGTGATTGACACAGGTGCTTCTTATTATGCTACACCACGGAGGGAGTTTTTTGCTACATACAAGTCTGAAAATTTTGGTGTTGTCAAGATGGGCAACTATGACACAACAAACATCATAGGCATGGGTGATATCTATTTAAAGACTAACCTTGGCTGCAAGTTGGTGCTTAAGGATATGAGACATGTGGTTGACTTGAGGCTGGATTTAATTTCGGTTGGAAGGCTAGATAATAAAGACTATGATAGTAGGTTTCACAAAGGGCAATGGAAACTCAATAAGAGTTCTCTTATTATAGCTAATGGAAAGAAATGTCATACTTTGTACAGGTTGCAGGCTAAAGCTTATGGTGAGCAGTTAAATGCTACAGAAAAAGACTTCAGCATGGAGTTGTGGTATAGGCGACTAAGACACATGAGCGAGAAGGGACTGCAAGCTCTTTCCAAGAGAGAGGTATTACCAGACCTTAGAGGTATATATTTGAACCCTTGTATTGATTGTTTGGCAGGTAAACAACATAGAGTTTCATTTGCTAGTCTTGTTTTGTCTAGAAAAATGTATGCCTTAGATCGTGTTTATACAGATGTATGTGGTCCCTTGAGGACAAAAACTCCTGATGGATTTATTGATGTTCTTGGTATAAGTGGTTCACTTTATTTTGTCACTTTTATAGATGATTTTTCTAAGAAAGTTTGGGCCTATGCTTTGAAGACTAAAGATCAGGTGATTAATGTCTTCAAAGAGTTTCATGCTAGAGTTGAAAGGGAGACAGAAAGGAATTTGGAATGCATAAGATCAGATAATTGTGGTGAGTATACAAGATTGTTTAATGACTATTGCAGGTCATATGAGATCCAACATGAGATGACAATTCCTGGTACACCTCAGCATAATGCAATTGTAGAGAGGATGAACCACATCATCATGGAAAAGAACAAATGTATGATTTCACATGCCAAGCTACCCAAAAGGTTTTGTGATGAAGCTTTGAGGACTGCAGTTGATGTGAACAACTTATCACCATGTACAACCTTAGATGGTGATGTTGCAGAGCATGTATGGTTAGGGAAAGATGTTTTCTATAAGTATTTAAGAGTGTTTGGTTGCCGCGCATTTGCACATATTCTAGATAATGGGAGGTCCAAGCTGAATGGTAAGTCTAAACAAGTTACAGGCTTTGGGATCCAGAAAACCAGAAGGTGTTTAGAAATAGAGATGTAGTCTTCTTTGAGGATCAAACCTTTGAGGATTTGAAGAAAAAGGCACCAGCCAATACTTCTATAGAAGGATTAGTAGATTGTGACCCATTTATTCCTCCAATATATCAGGGTGATAGAGGAGATGTGTAGGAAGATGGTGTAGAGCCTGATGTTGATCTACCTGCAGGACATGTTGAGTAAGAAAAAGTAGGAGAGCAAGTTCCAACAGAACCTCAGTTGAGAAAATCTTCTAGACAACGTCAACCTTCCAGAAGATACTCTACAGATGAGTATGTGATGCTTACTGATGCAGGTGAACCAAAGAGTTACCAAGAAGCAGTTGAAAGTGAGCAGAAAGAGAAGTGGTTAGTTGCTATGCAGGAAGAGATGAATGCTCTTCAGAAGAATCACACTTATGATTTGGTGCTACTACCAAATGGAATGAATGTTTTGAAAAATAAGTGGGTTTTTAGGTTGAAGACTCAAGAATATTGTTCTCAACCAAAGTATAAAGCTAGATTGGTTGTGAAAGGCTTTGGTTAAAAAAATATATTGACTTTGAAGAGATTTTTTCTCCTGTTGTTAAAATGTCTTCTATTCGTGTTGCTCTTAGTATTACTGCTAGCCAAGACTTGGAGGTTGAGCAGTTAGATGTGAAGACAACTTTCCTTTATGGGGATTTGGAGGAAGAAATTTATATGGAGCAACGAGAAGGCTTCAAAGTTAAAGGTAAATAGAACTTTGTCTGCAAATTGAAGAAGAGCTTGTATGGGCTAAAGCAAGCTCCAAGACAGTAGTACAGAAAGTTTGATTCATTTATGATAGAAAATGGATATAAAAAAACGGCTTCAGATCATTATGTGTACATCAAATGGTTTGGTGAGGATTTTATTATTCTCTTATTTTATGTTGATGACATGCTTATTCTTGGGAAAGATATGTCTAAAATTGACAGGTTGGAGAAGAACTGAGTGAGTCTTTTGCAATGAAGGACATGGGGCCAGCAAAGCAAATACTAGGTATGCAGATTTCCCGTGATAGGAAAAATAAGAAGATTTGGTTGTCACAAGAGAAATACATCGAGAAGATATTGAAAAGATTTAGTATGAGCAATGCAAAACCAGTTGGTTCTCCTCTTGTAGGTCACTTCAAGTTATGCTCAGAACAGAGTCCGTCAAGTGATGAAGAGAAGGAGAAAACGCAAAAGGTTCCTTATGCTTCAACAGTTGGAAGTTTAATGTATGCAATGGTATGTACGAGGCCAGACATCGCATATACAATTGGTGTTACTAGCAGATTTCTTGCAAATCTAAGCAAAGAGCATTAGGCAACAGTGAAGTTGATTTTTAGATATCTTAGAGGAAGCTCTATGGTTTGTTTAAGCTTTGGAGGTGGATCATATGTGTTGACAGGTTATATAGATGCAGATATGGCAAGAGATATAGATACGAAAAAGTCTACTTTAGGTTATGTACTTACTTTTGTAGGGGGAGCTGTGTCATGACAATCCAGGTTGCAAAGGTGTATTGCTCTCTCTACCATAGAAGCAGAATATATTGCTGCTACAGAGGTATGCAAAGAAATGTTATGGATGAAAGAATTCTTACAAGAATTGGGGCTGAAACAGAAAAATTATGTGATGTATTGTGATAGCCAGAGTGTCATTCATTTGTGTAAGAATCCAATGTTTCATTCCAAGTCAAAGCATATAGATGTCAGATACCATTGGATTCGAAATGTATTTGAAGAGAAGCAGTTGTAGCTTAACGAAGCAGATATATTGACAAAAACTTTATAAAAAAAAAGATAGGAGATATGCCGACAGTTGGTCGGCATGGCTTTACATTGAGGAGTCATGGGATAGCCTCCCTTATGGGTTGAAGGGGGAGGTTGTTGGGCTGACAGCCCACAGATTCAGCCCATAGTGGGCTTGGGCAGCCCACAGCCCACACTCCCTCTTAACCTAACCCTAATTAACATTAGGGGGTGTGGTGGCTGCATTTTGGAGGCTGAAAAAAGGTATAAATAGGGCAGCAATGTGGGAGAAAAAAACATCTACGAGATTCCAAAGAAAAGGAGGAAAACAAGACAGAAAAGGAAGAGAAAGAAAGGGATGAAGAAAAGGATAACGCAGAGAGGTTGTTCTCAATCATCTAGCAGTGTTCTATCTCAGGTTAGATCAAATCTACAGTAGACTCTTGCTGTGATTACTTAGGGAGATTTTAGATATCGTGGACAATGACGTGATCATTGTATCCCAGTTGTTCTCTTGTGATTGTTGCTAGGGTTTAGGGTAAGAGATTGAGATTTGTATATTCATTATTTTCATAGTAGATTATCTCTAGTTTGCTCCGTGATTTTTTCCCTTCACATTTAAGGAGTTTTTCACGTATATCTTGGTGTTCTATTTGATTGTGGTTCAATTTAATTCTACTGCGTATTATGATCTTCTAGTATTTGTTCATATATAAAGGTTATTCTTGTTTGTATCCCCGTCATGTTCTTGGTTGGAGGTCTGGAAGAAGACGTGGTAATTGCGAGAATTGGAATTTGGGAGCTCGATTTAACTAAATCGGAGAAGGAATGACGACTCTTCTGCTTTATACCCGATGATTATTTTCAGGAATTCAACGTCAATGAGCTTGTTCATTTTCAGACCATCGATCGATTTGGGATTCTTTGTTTTTGCAAGAGTCTGTTGTTTTAGTGTGATCTATCCATCGAAAACATGGTGGTGGCCGCCCGCATTTGGGGTGATTCCTAAGCGCAGAAGTTCTTGGCTCGGGCATGCTTTGGATCTACCTATGGCCATCTTTTATTTATTGTGGAAAGCTTTTATAAACTTTGAAGCCTATTTCATGTGTATTTTGATTCTGCTATGCTTAAACCAGATGACTAGTTTCATTCCCATATATGTTTGTTTAGTGCAATTTGAAGAAGCATCTTATTGTTCTTTTCTTTAGATTTTTACTACTTGATAGCATAATTAGCGGATTGATGGAACAAAAATGGGCAATAGGGTTATTTGTTTCTTGCTTTAAGGCCAAGCTGGACACTTTAGGCTTTCTACACTTCTTTATCACATATCCTCTCCTCTGCCCCATTAAAAATTAACCTTGCGAACTCTACTCCCTTGTCGTAGACCAATAGGTTAATTGTAGCCACCAGCCCACTTACAGATAAAAAGCTTTACCTTGGAAGCACTCAAACCTGTATACACAAATATCATTTTCAATGGGTATGTCTTCTTTGATAATTTTGATCTCTGTGCAATGCATCAACCAGACTTATAAGAAAGCACATTCAAATTTATTAGATAAGCAACAGCATACAAACTCAAATATGACATATGAAAGAAGCTTGCCTACATTTTCATCTTTAAAATATCTAACTTTCAACAATTTTTATGTATTATTTTAAAAATAAAATAAATATTTAAAATAATGTATATGACGCTCACATAACTAAAACATAGGTCCTATCACTTATGCATGAATGCTTGGTGCAGAATTGAAAATAAAATAAATCTCCACTAAAATAGATGATACACTCTGAATAAATGCTTTTTTTAGGATGTAAAAAAACTATTTACATGCAAAATACAACTTCAAAGGGATCAATATAAATTATTAGATTATTTCTCTTTAAAAAAATCTTATTTTCCATTATCTCATAAGAAATGTCTCATATTTCTTTTTTCTCATGTATCATATTTTCTTTTATAAAATATGAAATTGCCTTTGATATTGGCCTAGCAGTATAAAGAAAATGGTTGAGGTCAATAATGGTTATGTCAAAATAAAAAATTAGTTCAAAGCGAATAGATTCATTTTCTCTCTCTTTTCTTCTTATTGAATGGATGATTTGACGCTTCCTCTCTTTCTCTAAATCTAATCTTATTTTATCTTTTTCTTTATAACTTTATCTTCACTTTCTACATATCTCCATATCTCTAGGTACAAATCCTCACGACCACAAAACCCCTACAAGAAACCCTTTTGAAATCCTCTTTACAAAAATTATCTATAAAAGATTTATTATAATATTTTAATATGTCACATAAAAACTCAACTTATAAGATAATAAATACATAAATTCCTTAGATGAGAAGTCTTCTATTTTGTTTTTAATCTAAAAGTTAGCAAATATTATGCTATATGAAATAATTGAAACCCTAGCCAAATATATTTAAAAAGATCGTTGAACAAAGTATCTGTTTCTTAGTTTATTGAACGATAAATTTTAATTGAATTAGTTTATCTTACATAACTTAATTCTTGCATATAGTATTCGATGTCATTTATGTGTTTAGCCTCTTGGATATTATCCTAGAACATGGCATTAACATTTTATAATTTGATTTCGGATAATTTGTTTTATCATGCATTGCTTTTAAGTTTCCACAAAACATTTCAATGTCTTGGTATAGGAATGTTTGATTTTGTCGATTTCCTAAATGATTTTCTTTTACTTTTAGTTGTGTTTCTCCACTTTGGCACTGTATATCGTGCTTTACTTCTTCAACGCCATGTAGGTGTTTAAACTACTCATTCATGAATGGTCATAAGAAGTGTCCATATGATGAATAAGTTTCTGTGTAAGCCTCTTTTAGTTGAGGACCAAAAACTGAAACTTGTTCTAACATTTTAATTTCTTTTAGTGCTTCTAATTATCCAAGCTTGCACACACAATTACGGGTAAAGAGAATACAAATATCCTACAACTGTTATTGACATAAACATGTCTTGTAGACATATTTTCTGAAATCAATTGTTTTATCCTTGTGATGTCCTTTTTTTTAGTAAACAGTTTTTTTGTTATTTTGGTAAAATATTTGTTATGTAAAATATGATGGAATGGAAGAATGTGTTAGACCAAATTCTATTAATATATTAACTGATATGACAAAGTAAAATTATACCTTGTGAGTTCATATTAATATATTAACTGTGTTCATAATTGTTACGAACACAGTTAATATGTGTTCATAGCGTATGGCAAATTATATTAATATATTAACTCTTATCATGCTAATATGTGTTCACAATTGGTACGAAACACTGAGTGATTTGTTTTATGTATGTCCTTTTCCTTTTCAGAAAAATTCAAAATAATTTTTTCTATCATGATGAAGTGCAAAGTAGCGAATGACATTTAAATTCTAAAGGATAAAGGAACTAATTTAAACGATATATATAGTTGCA